GAACCTGCCGCATCAGCAGGTAAATAAAACTGGCCCGGCCCGCCAGGGCGCTTAACCTGGCGAGCCGCGTGCCGAACGTTGCCGACCCCTGCTCTGGGCTATTCCTAAAAGGAAAGGATGAAGAAGTAATCCACTCTTCCAAGGAAGGTAGGAAGGGATTTAAGTGTCCTTTTGCTGGAAGTTTTACAGCATAATCACAATCTTAATGGCTAAATTTTGCTTCATACTAAAAAGATCCCATCATGCTTAAAAAGCTGGCATAATGGTTTTCAAATAAATATATTGTTTGAAAATCAAAGAACAACCAAAGGTTTTTCCTAACATTTGTTCCTAATGTTCTTCTGCACTAGACGTGGCCTAAAAAGTATCAACCCAAACAACTATCTTGTGGCCTATGAACTTTGAAGTCATTTTAGCATTTTGTATTCTTCTTTTAGAAGTCCCTCCCCAAACGATTTAGCATAATCCTATGTATGTAGTGTAGTTGTAGCCGTATCGGTCCCAGGATGTTAAAGACACAAGTTGAAGGGAGATTAATATCTTTTACTGGATCAATTTCTGTTGGTGAGAGACAAGTTTTTGAGCCACACAGAGCCCTTCTTCAGGTTGGGGGAAAGTCACTCCCAGGGTCACAACAAAATGTAAGCTGGAATGGTTTGTTTAGCATATGTAGTTAGCACATATCCTAAGGGACCATTCAAGGTAGAGTGGCTCGTTAACACCTCTGCAGCTATAAGACAGAGGGGTTAGTGGGTTACAGATTCTTTTAATAAACCATATATCCAGTGTCTTGGCTCACATTTAGTGTCTCACAGAGTAATGAATTTAAGCTCCCAGGCTCATCTTTTGAAAGTGTTGTGCGGGTTTCCTTCGAGGGATGAGGTCTGATAGGTCAGATTTAGAGTGATCGATTTGTGAAAAGTGTACATCCCACAGGTGATAAAGTAGTTTTGTCTTGTATCACTTTCCTTTGTGAGTTTATTTGAGAGTGCAGTGATGGTCTGGTTTCACCCACATAGTTATTATTGGGGCACTTACTGCACTGAACAAGGTATACCACTCGTGATAGGCATGTGTAGGATCCATGGATCTTGAAAGGTGTGTTATGGGGGATATTGATCATTGTAGCAGTGGAGAGATGTCTGCAGGTTTTCCATCTGTTGGTCTGGCAGGGTCTGGTACCACTTTGAGTTGTTGTGTCTTGGTCTGTAGGGCGCTTGCTTCTGATGAGGAGCTTGGAGAGGATGGGGGGGTTGTTTGAAGGCCAGAAGTGGGGGTTCAGAAGAGACACTGGATTTATGGCTTGTTACAACAATCTATTACCCACTAATCCTCTCTTTTTGTCCTATGACAACAGAGGTGGAAAGGGGCCGCCCTACCTTGAATGGTCCCTTACAATATATGCTAACTACATATGCTAAACAATTTGTTCCACCGTACATTTTGCTGAGACACTGGGAGTTCCTTTCCCAGACCTGAAGAAGAGCTTTGTGTGACTCGAAAGCTTGTCTCTCTCACCAACAAACAGGCACAAGAAGATTAAGCACTTGCTTAGGGCCCTGAACAACTCAAGGGGGCCCTCTATTTGCTTTTTTTAGTATGCATTGTGTGGGGAGAGGGAGGGGGACATTCCTTCTTAGGGCCCCCAATGGGTTAGCACCGCCACTGCCAACCAAAGTTGGTCCAATAAAAGATATTGTCTCACCCACCTTTTCTATCTCAGTATAATCCTTGCATTTTTTATTTTGAACCAAATAAACATGGAGCAGCTAGAAATATCAATGAAACAATTGTTACTGCACCTGTTGTAGTTCATGGATTTCTTGGCGCAAATAGTCCTCCTTTCTTGCTGCTTGCTGCTCGGCTCGTTGAAGTGCCAGTCTCAAGTCTGCCACCTGTATCAGCAGGAATCAGACAATTACTATATTTCATTAATTCCTAATGAAGAATTTTAGTTTCCACTTGTCACTGCTACAGCCACGCGTACTTGCATCAGTGAATGTTGTACAGGGCCTCCAGTTTATGAGTTTTACAAGTCAGCTATGCATACCCCCACACAGCATGTGCATAATAGTTTCACTAGCTTACCCACACACTGACTAGTTATACAGTGTCCAGTTCAAGGAGGTAACACTTAGCATTACAATAAGAATGGCACAAGCATGAACCATGGCTTACCACCAAAATTATAATTACGAATTTAGACAAGATAAACACATTTAGAATTATGACTTTGGACAAGCGGTTTAGTGCGACATGACTTTTCTCCTCCTATGTTTTGATCCATTTTTAATTGAATTTATGACTTATCTGGTGTTCACGCTATTTTCTATTTACTAGCTTACAGAACAGTCATGCTAGATTTGTTAAGTATTTTTTCCAAGCTGTTTCTGTCAAAAGATTATTTTTTTTGGAAGAATGGAGGAGAATTTTGACATCCAGCTTGCACAAAGCCTTCAATAGAGCACACCATCCACTAGCCCAAAGTACACACTCAAATTAGAAGAGAAAGTTTTAATCCCCATGCTTAAAGCTCACCTGAATTGCTAAAGCTTCTTGCTGCTGGCGGGCCTCGTCTTGGGCCTTCTCCAGAGCTAATCCAAGTTCTTCCTTAGCTTTCATTTCACGACTTAATGCTGCTTCTTGTGCTTCACTATCCTTTGTAGCATTCGCTTTGTGAAGATCAGCAAGTTCCCTACAAACCAAGAATGAAAGGCACTGGAATTTTATATCAAAATTCAAATTAAGTAGAAAAACTACAGTGATCCTCACAGTTTATACCATGTCAAGATGACTTACCAAGTAATTTTTTACTACATATTATAAACATTTCTCAGGCACCACACACAGGAGTTTTAAATGTAAATGTCTTGATTTTTGCATGCAAGTATCTGCTTACTTGTATGAGCTATCAAGTGCTGCTTGAACACTTCGGTTCCGTTCTTCAAGCTCTTCCATGTCGACCTGAAGTCTGCTGAGATCCTTCTCTTGTCGCTCTACCACACTGTTCAGTTGTTTAATGTTCTCTCGATGCTGCTTTTCAACCTCCTCCTTGCCATCAAGAACCTATTAGAGTGAAAAAAAAATTACAAGTCTATCAAAATAACTGAAAAACCCCTTCCAAATTTAAGATGGAGCATTTTATAAAGTCTTCCTGAGTTAAATTCCATTAAAACGTGAAACGCCAGCTCCAATTAAGATTACAACATTTTGCACTTGAATGGTTACAGCATACCTATGAGTCAATAAAACATAGACCAATAAAACTATAGTGACATCTACTTCTAGGCATGGGCATAGGCAACTTGTGGCAATCAAGTTCAGGGCCAACAGAAAGCCCTGCTGAGCACTAATGTAAGTTTTAGTGAGAGTGAAATATCAAGAGCCTGAATAAGACTTACTAAGACCACCGAATAGTCTTAAAATTACCTTTGGTGAGTGAAAGCCTAGAATGTAAGATTCCTGGAAAGGAGCTTTAACTAAAGTTGAAGAAAAAAGGGAGAGGTGTATGGGATACCTACTGAGATAAGGAAACTACCACCATGGGCGGCTCGTGAACCTCTGGCTGGGGGAGGCCATCCTCCAGCCCCGCCCCTTCCGCCAAAGGCTCCACCCCTTCCGTGCACCTCAGAACCCAGAGCTCCCCCACCGCCAGCCCCCACCCCAGGCTGGCTAGTGCCCGCAGCCCAGGAGCGCCGGGAGGGAGAGCACACGGTGGTGCCGCTGCAGCCTCCCCAGCCCCTGGAGCCAAGTGGCACTGCCAAAGCGGGGCCCTAGGGGCAGAGTGTGGGCGGGGCCATGCCTGAGTGTTTAGGGAGGCTCAGTCTCCCCAACCCACCGCCCATGACTACCACCGTTGATTAGGTGGCAACTGTGACACTGGCAGACCAGGTGCCAGCACATGCCAAGGCTCCCAGGTCTCAGCTGAACAGTGATAAATACATAGTTGGAACCAGTCTGGCTCACCTGTGCGTTAGTATAGGAATAAAAAGCCCTAAGAAGGGGAAACTGTATCTTTTATGCTGCTTGGACTTTGAAGAGCAAGGATTACTAAGCATAAGCAAAAGATCCTAAGTGCTTGGGTTGGGTTAGCCATAAAGGACATACAGAGCTTGCTTATTATAGATGCTTCTATTACCATTTGAAATTTTAGACGAACCATTTGTTTACCTGCTTTAACCTTGTAAATAACTGTTATTTCCTTTTCCTAGTTAATAAATCTTTAGACAGTTTATTAAAGGATTGATGTGAGCTCTAAGGTGCAACTGAGGTGGGGTAAGTGACTGGCCCTTTGGGACTTGGGGTTACCTGAACATTCTTATAATTCTTGATGTAAGGGACCATCGATCACTAAGACAAGCTTGACTAAGTGACAAGATAGATCAGAGTATCCCAGGGGAATGTCTGTGACTCCATGATTAGGCTGTTACACTGCCTGAGGAGTTTACACTTTATACTTGGTTGATTAAATCTAAGTTTACAGCTCTCAGCCAGTTTGGGGTTTGTGCCCTGTTTCCCGACAGTCAGCCCTGAGGTTGGTAATCATGCTTTTGAGCCACCGCAGGAATGCTTGACAGCAACATCGACAAAGAACTAAAATAATATCATCAAAACTTCTCTGGTTGCTCTAATATATCTCCACTCCAAGGTGTGAGAATCAATAATGTCTGTAACGCACATGACATACTAAAAAGAGCCCTTCACAGGAGTGCCATAAACCTACGTCTGGAAAGCTAAACTGGGAATTCCACATCTGATCACCAAGGCTAAACTAGCTACTGTTATGGCAGCCAAGAGGCTATTAAGCCTCTGAAAGCATGAAGTGACATTTGTGTCCTGAACTTTCACAGAAAATCACAATAAATAAACTAAGTCTGACCCTAGTAAGCCGGTATTTCAGATGGGCATTGTTCCTTCAGGACAACATCTGCAACCACTGAGGTATTTCAACACCTCAACTAATGCAATAGTGAAACACTAATAAAAAATATAGTTATTTTAAGTAAAATTTTTCTAGAAAGATATCCATAATTGACTGTATAAAAAAACCTAACTACAGCTACATAAAGTTACCCCCAAAGGAAGACGGAGAAAGAGTGCAAACAATGAGGAACTACAGAATTAGAAACAAATGATGAAGAATAGTTAATGGACTGAGTGAAAGCATCCAGAAACCACATGCCCCAAACTACTGAGAATCAGAAGAGGGACCGCAATCTCCAAACCACAATGAAGTACAAAGGAACAAAAGCTATTATGAAACCCCTCAAAAAGACTATCTTGTATAGTCAGAGTTAAAGGAACCAATATCAGAATAATGTGATTTACAGAATGTGACTGTAAATATATCTAACCTGTTTTAAATGCTGCAACTCCTCTTCTAACTCCTTAATCTTTTTGCTCTGTTTTGTATTAGTATTTTCATTTTCCTTCTCCTTCATTCTTAACTTCTTAATGATGTTGGAATTGTGTAGCTGCTGTTTTGAAAGCTTTTCTCCTTTAAAAGAAAAATGTGTATGAAGTTAAATATTAGCATGTCCTTCCATCATCCAATGTAGTGCAAGATTTGTTTTCTCTGAGGCAGGGGTAGGCAATCTATGGCACAGGTGCCGAAGGCGGCACGCGGGCTGATTTCCAGTGGCACTCACATGCCTGGGTCCTGGCCACCGGTCCGGGGGGCTCTGCATTTTAATTTAATTTTAAATGAAGCTTCTTAAACAATTTAAAAACCTTGTTTACTTCACATACGACAATAGTTTATTTATATTATAGACTTATAGAAAAAGATTTTCTAAAAATGTTAAAATGTATTACTGGCACACGAAACCTTAGAGTGAATAAATGAAGACTCAGCACAGCACTTCTGAAAGGTTGCAGACCCCTGCTCTAAGGAGTAGCAGTATCACCAAGAAATATGATTTTACATTGACTCCTCTATAGTGCTTAATTTCAAACATTAGGGCACTGTATAGCACCTATTGCCATAGTATCTACATGCTTACACTGTGCTATATTAAGGATAATTAATGCAACTGCCGCCGGACTATATTATCTACTGTAAGACGACACTGGAATCAACATAAATCATCAATTATTCCAATATTAAGCTAACAGTGAATCAGTGCTAAAGCTGCTTATTTTCTTCTCTCCCAATCACTTCAACCTATAGTATTTTTACACTGCTACTGACATGGCAGCTTTATAACATTTTCTATTGTCAGTGGATTCTGGTCATCTTAAATGTATAGCCATCATTCCTCCAATCCCATTGGAACAAGCGTAGTGATGTCACAATGCCTGAAAACTTCCCTCTTAAGGTATGTCTACAGTGCAAAATTATGCTGACTTAAGTTATAACGACATACAGCCACCACAGTAGTTAAATCGCTTTTGCATGTCCATACTACCCTCCCTCCATCAGCGGTGCACATACTCACCAGGAGCACTTGCACCGATTTAACTGTCAGGGTGGGACAGCTTCTGAAAGGCAGCAACAGTGTCTCCACTGACAATGTGTTGACCTAACTACATCTGCATTGACTCTACCCCTCTTGTGGAAGTGGAGTTAAGTTGGTGTAGTGGGCGAGTTATATCAGCAGGAGCAACATTTTAGTGTTGACACTTAGCCCAGGTCTACACTAGCGGGGGGGTCGACCTAAGATACGCAACTTCAGCTACGCAAATAGCGTAGCTGAAGTCAGCGTATCTTAGGTCAACATACCTGGCCGTGAGGACGGCAGCGAGTTGACCGCTGCCGCTCCCCCGTCGATTTCGCTTCCGCCTCTCACGAGCTGGAGTTCCGGAGTTGACTGGGAGCGCAATCGGGGATCAATTTTATCCCGTCTACACTAGATGCAATAAATCGACCCCCGATAGATCTATCACTACCCGCCGATCTAGCGGGTAGTGAAGACCTGCCCTTGGAGAGTTAGATTGACGTTAAGTTGCCTTACATCAACTCAGTAGTGTAGACCAGGCCTTAGTCCCTAACTCTATAAAATACAATTTTTTTTAGTTTAGTGGGTTGTTGTTGTTTTTTTTTTTACACGAAGTCAGCATACAATTCATGTGAACGAATACTTAACACCTAATAGTATTTCATAATCATTAATATACCCTCTATGTGGTAAGCAGGAACTCCCATTGAACAGATAGGTTAATAACTGAGGCATGTAAGCAAGTCATTTGACACCCGAAGTCAACACAGCCAGGATTTGAACTCGAAGAGTCCCAAGTCACAGTCCTATATTCTATCCACTAGGCCACACTTTGATATGAATTATCACTGTTTCGCCATATTATGGATACATAAAATAAATTCACTGATATACAAACTACACATCATTTTCCTAATGTAGATGAATGTGCCCGTGCTGCTGATCTAATTTTGTTTGTGACAGAGCAAAATATTTACAATATCTACCTATACAAGGCTTCTACACCCAGAGTTCTCTGTCAAATCAGAAAGTGGAGACAGGGGATGGAAATTCCTAAGTTCTTCCATCAAATTTGGGGTTCACTATACCCACACTTTGATGTTTAAAAAAGTATGGATAGGAGTGAGACTCATAGCTTAAACATTTTCCACATGTAGAAGATATTTGAAATAACATGACATTTTCATGTATCTAAAATAAGACAGAATGTATTAGAAGACACTTTTAAAATATCTTTACTATAACACGTTTACCAACTTTACCTTCTTGCATTAGTTCATTGATTTGTTCATCCTTCTCCTTCAATAGTTCAGCTGTTTCATTACAATTTAGTCTAGTTGCCAATTCTTCTTTAACATTCTTTACTTCCTAAAAAGGAGGAAATATTCTTAGTACTATTTATAAATAATGTTAGCCTTTTTTAAAAATACATATGTTACGTTACATTGAGCTTTTATCCACTGGAAAAATAGATATGGCCCCAAATATAGCATAGTTTCTCAGATTCCTAAAAAGACTTTAGACCAGTGGTTTTCAACCTTTTTTTGTTTGCAAACCCCTAAAAAATTGCAAATGGAAGTGCAGACCCCTTTCGAAAACTTAGACATAGTTTGCAGACTCCCAGGGGTCCGTGGATCTCAGATTGAGAACTACTGCTTTAGATTTTGTATTTTAGAATAAACCAGCAGTTAAAAGAATGAAAACAAATTATTCTAAGAACTAGGCAATCAATAATTGTGTGAACTCAAAGATGCAGAAGGTGATAACTAGCCTTAAGTGTATATTTTTTAAGTTCACTAACACCCCTATTATTTTGGGGGAATTCTATAGACTGTATTAAGCAGGAGGTTAGACTAGATGATCACAGTGGTCCCTTCTGGACTTGGAATCTATAAATACCCCTATTTTCTCTTTTCAATCAGAATTTTCTTTTGCCTTTACCTCATCCCATTTTAAACCTGTGATGTAGCAAAAAACCCCAGAACTATTTAATTCATGCAAGTGAATATCAGATAACGTGGGATTCTACTTCCTCCTAAAAAGTACAACCCCAACTGCTCCAACACACATTTAGAGGGGCATTGACAAAACAACTGTGTTTAATAATAAAGCATTTTTTAAAATCTGAATTTAAGAATATTTTTTAATTATGCTGTTTAATTTACTTTTTGCAGAATGACTATGAACAGACCACCCTAAGCAAAATGCTTTAGTGTTTGAACAGTGAATGTTTAAATCCCAAACCCCTCCCCCCCCTTTTTTTTTTTTAATAAAATCATGAAAACATCTCTATCAGGTCTTGTGGAGCCCATCCCCCCAAAACACCACACACAAAAAACCCAAAACCTTTATATTGATATCTAAGTTACTTCACAGTGGCTCCTGTAAATATCATGTTTTCCCAACCTCAATTTCTATGATTTGCTCCTAAGGGAAGCTGAGACTATTTAGTGTTATAAATACTAATTCAGCTAGGAAGCTGATTACCTTTTTAGCTGCATCCCTCTCTTTGCATGCTAGCTGGACCTTCTTTTCAGCATCTGCTATTCGCTGAGTAAACTCCTCTTTAAGAGATGAAATGCTACTGCTCTCTTCTTTCACTCTAAACATTTCACTAGATTTAAGACATTTTAGAATAGTCCAATGGTTATGTTGACATTTCAAACTGCATTCAACAAGCTCTTATAATAAACTTTAACTAGCAGGACTCAAAACATTGAAACTCATCAGAAACACAGGTCTTTACAAGATCTTCACCGATTTAGTTAAATAGTGTAAAATAAGGTTGGCACTTCAATGATTTCATCTAAAACACATTATCCACTAATCAAGCTCTGCTAATGAATGGGTAAACATACAGCATCGGTACAACAAGAGTTACACTATGTAACTCTACATAAAAGAATAAATGGACACAAATCAGACGTCGAGAATTATAAAATTCAAAAACCAGTTGGAGAACACTTCAGTCTCCCTGGCCACTCGATTACAGACCTAAAAGTTGCAATATTACAACAAAAAACTTCAAAAACAGACTCCAACGAGAGACTGCTGAATTGGAATTAATCTGCAAATCGGACACCATTAAATTAGGCTTGAACAAAGACGCAGTGGACGGGCCATTACACAAAGTAAAACTATTTCCCCATGCTTATTTTCCCCCCCTCCCCCCATCTCCTTGTCAATTGCTGGAAATGGGCCATTTTCATTACCACTACAAACAGTTTTTTTGCTTTTTTTCCTCTCCTGCTGATAAAAGCTCACCTTAACTGATCACTCTCCTTATAGTGTGTACAGTAACACCCATTGTTTCATGTTCTCTGTGTGTGTGTGTGTATATCTTCCTACTGTATTTTCCACTACATGCATCCGATGAAGTAGGCTGTAGCCCACGAAAGCTTATGCTCAAATACATTTGTTAGTCTCTAAGGTGCCACAAGTACTCCTGTTCTTTTTACTGTGTAAAAGACAACTGATTGTTTATTAAGTTATTTAATAAACAAACAAAAAATCATGACTACTTCACACTAATAGCAGGCTGATTTCACAAATAAACAGTTGTTTGAACACTAATAAAAAATATTTGTTTTATTGTATCACACACCTAAGTAGCCCCCATTTTTGTTGCAATAAGTCACAATTTAGCACTTATAAGCAGAACGCTTACATTCAGAACTGTCGCTATTTTGATACTTACTCTTTCAGGTTATCGAAAGCTTCTTCCAGGCCTGCCTTCTCTTTACTAACACTTAATAATTGTGTTTCCCTCTTCTCCAGCTTCTCAGTCAACAAATCAATCATCTGAATAAATTTTAGACATGAAGATCAAAAACAGTTAAATGATGGAAATAGCATTTTTTTTTCTTTAGCTGGGTTTTGAGGTTGGAATCCTTTTGATACTTTTAGGAACTTTTATTTTAAAGTCAATGAAGAATGGCAAGCCTCATGGTAAGCTTTTACATCTAATTATATCAGAAACAGAATCTGGACGTTTTGAATCTATTTAGTTTTCTAAACTTTTAACAAAGGGAATTCCTGGCTCAGCTAAAATTCCCATTAAATTCAGTAGTAGTTCAATGGTAGTTCTGTCTGAGTAAAGAGTGCTAAATAGGGCCCATAGTCTCCACTATCTTCCTATTTGCTTATTTTGTCAGATACACTTGCAGATGACAGAGATTACAATTGTGGCATCTAACAACTTAATTTTGAATCTTTTTCATGTTTTTAAGAGATAAAGATGTTATGTAAGTGCAAGAGTAATTGCTTCCAAAATGCTTCATTTGTAACAGCTGTTTTAAGTTTTTACACTAGGGAGCAGAAGTTTCATTTACAACTACTGGCCATAAGTACTAAACAGAAACTCAAGAAGTTTATCAGCATGAAGTTAAGAAACAAGAAAAACAAGGCTCTTTACTTTCTAGATTTTTAATAAATAAATGTGCATGATTAAAAACTCCTTTATACTTCTCATTCCACTGTTTTGTGGCACTTTACCACAGAAGAGGCATGATAAAATGCAAATGGAGTCTACAAACTACATGTAACAAATATAAGTCAATCTCCAATAACAGATAAAGTATGTGCATCAAACATGTATCACAATCTAATTAGGGCATATAACTGAAAAATCTGCTATATTTCATGAACAATCACAGGTTTCTAAACCAAAAAAAGTCTTCGCTATTCAATAATTATACAATTATCTAATTAAACATAATTATGTAACAGCCCATGACTGTAGTTATACTGATAAGTCTGTAGTGTAGACCTAGCCTGAGCCAGATTCTTGTTAGTAGGCCTCAAGACAATGCACTGAAAATAGTAGTATGGACGCTGTATCTCAGGCTCTCAAGCCTAGGGGACAGATGGGTTTGAGAACCCAAGCCACAATGTCCATGCTATTGTTTTTAGCATGCCAACTCAAGCCCCACTAGCATGAACGTCTACCTAGGCTGGGAGGCTCGCTCCCAGCTGCGGTGTAGACATACCCATTAAGGCCCCAGTCTTGCAGCCAGGTCCACACAGACTGATGCTTGCACCCATGCGGAGCTCTAATGATTTCACTGAGATTCTGAACAGATGGAGCCTTACATTGCAGGATCAAAGAATTTTCCATTAGTACAGAATGATGCAGTATGGACTTATTTGGTCCAGGTATAAGTCAATAACTAGGGGTCAAGATCAATGCAGCTTCACTCCCTTACAATGGGGATGAATTCAGCCCACAGAATGCATGTTGTGTGTTTGCGTAACATATTCTATAGTTACCTTGCAAAGCTCTTCCTTTTCACAATTCACTTTAGGCAACTTTTCAGCACCTTGATGCTGCATCACAACCTCCACTTTGACAGTTTGTCCTTCATCTGTTTGTACAGCAGCAACCAGAATATCTGGTTGCTCAGAGTTAACAGGGGTCGCACTTCTCCCACTTTCCTCCATTTCAGTTTCCTCTGCGTGTACAAGTGTCTCATTCAATTCTTCTTTAGATTTATTTTTCATGAGGTCAACCACCTCAGTCTTTGGTGTTAAAGGGCTGACTGTGAGAGATACTGAAGCACAACCTCTGCCGGATAATTCATCATCTGAATTGATTTCACTTACACTTCGGCTATCTAACGACTGCACACTAAATGAGTCAATTCTTTCAAAAGCATCAGAGGAGCTGCAACTCTCAGTCAGTTTCTGAAAGTCATCTAAACGATTATACTCAGCACAGGCAGATGTTGATAAGAGCTGAAAGGAAGTTTGCATCAGATGAAGACTGGATTTTGAATCTGTAGCCTCTTGTCTTGAACTTACCGAGCTCTCACTTATTACACTTTCATGGTCCAAAACTTCAATATCACTAGTTGTGGATGTCCCCGAGGAGAAAGCGCTAATAGGAGGTGAAGGTGTGTTGCTTTGTCTGTCCTCATTTTTTTGTTCCTTACTTTCCAAACCTATGTCCTTTGTCTCTGCAGTAAGAGATTGTGCAGGGCTGTCAGGAGCACTTCCTGATACATCATTTCCTGCATTAGATTTCACATTAACAACAACTTCAGGTACTTTGAGATCTGGAGTGGCCACCTTATCATCAGTGCCTTTGTCTGTATTCTCTTCATGCTTAGCATCAGTTTCAAGTGCAGAACTTTCTTCTAGATTTTCCTGGGGAACATCAAGGTTTTTCAAGTCCACTAGCACAGATGCAGAGGAATCTTTTGCTTCTGTCTCAGTTTCTACTAGCATTTCTGGCTGATTGCTGCATAGAGATTCCTTTAAAGTGCTTTTCACTTCTTCTTTGGGTCGCTGTGATTTGGTTGGAGGTTTAGACACCACTGGATTCTGCTGTATACTCTGAATATCTGGTGGAGAGAGAAAGGCACTGAAGAAATTCTCAGATTCATCCACCACTGTCCTCCTAACTGGTTTGGTGATTGCTGTTGGTGAGGATATTGGCTGACTTTGAGGTTCTATATTTGAGTTTAATCCCCAGGTAGAAGTATCCCATCCTCCACTTGTAAGGGAATTTGTTCCTAAAATAAGAAGTAAAGAAAATCATCCATATGAAAAACATCTAAAATATAAAAGTTACGGTTTTGCAGTACTGGCATTGCAAGATGCAACAATACAGAAAATTAAAAAAGAAAGTTATATGATGTTGAACATACAGCATGAAAGAAGATATATAGATAGCCATAGTACCTTTTATTGTTATTGCAACCTTACATTTTACAAGTAATTGTCAAAGTTTAAAGGAGCCATAATGATTCAACGTACAGAAGGAACTCCAGAAAGGTAGAGCAACACAGATGAAAATGACTTTTCTTCTTCCCAGCAACTGTGGAACGTCAGTGGGGGATAGGAAGGCAGAGAGGAGTTATACCAAGATCTGAGAAGCAGCTGAAAAAGGTGCATATTAATTAATGGAGATATCCCATCTCCTAGAACAACTGGAAGGGACCTTGAAAGGTCATCGAGTCCAGTCCCCTGCCTTCACTAGCAGGACCAAGTACTGATTTTGCCCCAGATCCCCAAGTGGCCCCCTCAAGGATTGAACTCACAACCCTGGGTTTAGCAGGCCAATGCTCAAACCACTGAGCTATCCCTCCCCCACAGGCGGTGAGCTGGGAATCAGAGATGACCTGTCCCCAGGAGCCTGCCCCAGGCAATGTCCCCGACGGCTCAGCCCCATCATGCCCAGTTTCTAGAGAGAGTGAAATAGGTCCATACAGAGTTTTGAAAATCATAAAGGACAATTTCCAAGATGGAAAGGAAACTAGTGAAGGGGACAGTGGACAGGGAATATAACCGGCTTACTGTAGTGAGAGTATGCTAGTTACAGTGATCTGGACACTCTGAAGTTCAGAGTATTAGGCAGATCAGAAAAGAGCAAATTGCAATTATCAGGGTTTAAAAAAAATTACCTGTCACTGACAAGTGGAAAACTAATTCTAACAACTGAGACAGTCTCAGCTTTCAATTTTTGAAGAATTAAGGCTAAAAGGTTCTAGCCTTTATGGCTTGACAAACTTCCAAACACAAACCAGTGAAACAAACTATTTGAGGCAGCTGACAAACAACTTCAGTGCCTTGGGGGCTGTTCCTAATCTTCTCAAACAGGCTAAAACCAAGACATTCCTTTGTTTTCACGGTTGCTATGTCCAGCCTTGTGGGGCAACAGTAAAACTAACAATAATCCAGTTAGCTTCACACTGCTCCTCAGTCCTATCCCACAGCAGCAAACAGGGTACTGCATCTGTTTGCCTTGGACTTTGGTGGCATCCCTCCCAGCCTCATCTCTCATATTAACCTCTGGACGGTTTTGTTCTCTGGGTAGGGGGAGGATAGCTCAGTGGTTTGAGCATTGGCCTGCTAAACCCAGGGTTGTGAGTTCAATCCTTGAGGGGGCCACTTAGGGATCTGGGGCACAATCAGTACATGGTCCTGCTAGTGAAGGCAGGGGGCTGGACTCAATGACCTTTCGGGGTCCCTTCCAGTTCTAGGAGATAGGTATATCTCCGTATATGTTGGGTAGGATGTGAAGAATTTCATTGTCAAATTTTAGTAGTGTCGTAAATGCAGTAACTGACAGGACAATATGGAACAGAATACATTTGGGGTTCAAGAATAACTTCCAAGATATTTCCCGCATGTAGTCAAAGCACTGGGTATCTCACTACTTATTTCAGACTTATGTAAAAAGAGATTTGTCCCAACAAATATTTCGTTAAGGCATGCATTAGTAAACTAATACCAAATCTCTAAGTTATAACACTCAATAGCAATTGATGCACTAGTACATTATTGATTACATCATACTTAGTAACATTAATATTTAAAGTTTGGGTAAGACACTAATGGCTTCATTGCCATAAGTGCTGAGCACTAAAAACTCATATTGCCTTTCGTGTGAAATGCATGTGATTCAGCACATCTGAAAGTCTGGCAACAGTTTGACAATACATATACTTATTTTTAAAAATAAGCTGAAATCACTAAAATGTATTTTTATCTGGTCCACACACAGTTTGCTCATGACCTCTGAATTACCTTTACTGATGTCCTTATGAATTTCATATTATCATCACAAAAACTTAAATACAACTGACATTTTAATATGATTTGGTATAATACTAAAAGAAGCAGGGATTGAGTTTTGTATAACCGTTGTTCACAAAAAACCTCCAATATTTAACTTATATGACACTGAAGCCATCTGACAGGTGGCTACTGCTTTTTACTAGAAATGCTTATATATTAAACTTTGTTTATACTTCACTATCACCCTGGAAAATGTTCTCCAGCTGTCCTTTATTAGAGATTCAAGTTTACTCTGCCTGGTAAACATACTGTTATCTCCATTTTACTGCTATATTATGCTCAAGATATACACAACATTTGTACTAAGGACATTGATTGGCTATCATTTCAGCTTCCTGAGTCTCTTTATCCTGCATACCTAATTTTAAAATCACATATCAGGACTTCTTCACCTTGAAAGTATAGCCTAGAAAGAAACTCAATACTATAATTTAAGATGAAGTTTTCTTTCAAGTTCTGTATTAATGCTGTGCCTTATATAAATAACAGACATCACCTCATCGTATTTAGACTATGGCAAACTGTCTACAATCTAATTTGTTTAATAAACATTTGCAAGCAGGAAGTTGCAGTCGTTTATTCTGCCACAAAGTACATTAACTTCCGCATGAAACTCCACTGAATTTCTATGAACTTGGAGAGGGATGGATGCAGTAGACACTGATAGTAGAGGCAGAGATGCCTGTATCAGAATTAGACAAACGAGTGGTGGAGAAATCATATTACTTAGACATTTCTCTCTTCACACCTGTCATCCTCATTGAGCAACAATGAATTAACAAGTTTCCTGAGTAGATGAATTAAAAGTTTATCCTCAAGGCATAAGCATATTAACATTATTCAAAATTGGGAATATTACTGTCAGTCATCACCTAGAGCAGAGGAAAAAGGACCAATATCAGTTCCAGCAATTCCTCATTTTACACCTTTGCGGAAAGCACTAGGCTTCTTTGTGCCTCATTTTCCTTCACCTGTAATATGGTAAACATATTAGGAAACTTAAGTAATTGTTTGCAAAGAGCTTTGAATATCTTCAATGGGGCTATATAATTGTAAAGTGTTAAAAAATACAGAATAAGTTGTGAAAGAGGCAGAAAAAAAACTTGTTTTCAAGGCAGCCTCCTCAGCACCTCTACAATAAATATGACAGCAGATGGTTCTGCCAGAGGATCACATTCTATCCTCAAACATCACTGACTACGTGTGTAACACTGGTGGGCAGAACCTGGCCTCCACACAGCACCGGCCTCTGTGCTGCTGCCTAGATCAGTGGTTTTCAACTTTTTTTTTCCCCCCATTCCCAAAAATTTTTGAATGGAAGTGCAGACCCTTTTGGAAATCTTAGACATAGTCTAAGATTGAAAACCACTGTTCTATGGTAATGACAGACCCCTTAGACATAGTTTGCAGACCCCCAGGGGTCCACGGACCACAGGTTGAAAACCACTGGCCTAGACTACAAGCACCTCAGAGCAGAGACCACCTCATTTTCTGTCTCCTACAGCACCAGGGGGAACCAGGGGACAGCGGGGGGATCCCAGGGTGCAGTTCAGACGCCCCGGTGAGGGGCACAGCACAGCGGGAGACCAGGGGACAGCGGGGGGACCCCAGGGCGCAGTTCAGACACCCCAGTGAGGGGCACAGCAGGGGACCAGGGGACAGCGGGGCAGCCCCAGGGCGCAGTTCAGAAACCCCGGTGAGGGGCTCGGCACAGCGAGGGACCAGGGGACAGCGCGGGGACCTCAGGGCGCAGTTCAGACATCCTGGTGAGGGTCTCGGCACAGCGGGGGGAACCCAGGGCGTAGTTCAGACGCCCGGGTGAGGGGCACAGCACAGTGGGGGACCAGGGGACAGCGGGGCGGCCCCAGGGTGCAGTTCAGACACCCCGGTGAGGAGCACAGCACAGGAGGGTGACCCCAGGGCGCAGTTCAGACACCCCGGTGAGGGGCTTGGCACAGCGGGGGACCAGGGGACAGCGTGGGGACCCCAAGGTGCAGTTCAGACGCCCCGGTGAGGGGCTCGGCACAGCGGGGGACCAGGGGACAGCGGGGCGACCCCAAGGTGCAGTTCAGACGCCCCGGTGAGGGGCTCGGCACAGCGGGGGACCAGGGGACAGCGGGGCGACCCCAAGGTGCAGTT